TCTAAACGCCTGTTGACACCAGGACGAATATACTCCCCGAACTAAACAAAGGGCGCCAATGTGAGTGTGCGCACCGATGTGTAAAACGCCACGCGTAAAAGCGTCATTTTTTTTAAACGCTTCGGGTTCGTTTTTTTTAGTTTGACGCGCTGCGTCAAAAACTATCCGACCTATAAGATTGGTGCTTTTGCTCACGTGTTTGGAGCTTCTGAAGTTACAGTAAAACACAACTTGGGGGCGCTCAAACACAAAACGGTCTTGCCGAGCACACATATGCAATGGCGAAGAAGATATACGCCAAGTAGTGTCGCCGTCTACACAGCCAGGAAGAAATAAGACGAGGAAGATGCAAGAGCTGCTGGTCTCGTTGGTGTTAACTATATGACAATCCAACACTATCTCACGACCAATTCGTACGAATTCGACGAATGATTAAAAAGTGGCTAATTCGTACGACCTCACTCGTACTAATTCGTACGATTTGTCTAAACCCACGTGATGGTTAGGTTTAGGGGCGGGGTAAGGGGTAGGCCATTCGTACGAATTCATACGAATTGGCCAATTCGTAAAATATGTACGATTTAGCAAAATCGTATTAATTCGTACGAGTGAGGTCGTATGAATTGTTACGAATTAGCCACTTTTTAATCATTCGTCGAATTCGTACGACTTGATCGTGAGATCGGGTTGGACAATCGCGACAGCGACTACAAACATCTTGATAAAAGAAAACTGATATGGAGTGGTATTGCAGAGCAAATTGGCACCATCTAATGTCAGGGAATGAATTTGTTCACTCGGCTCATCGTCACCGAAAATCGTTTTTTGAACACAAAAAAACGCGCTGAAAAATGCTGGCGAATAACGCGCGCTGATATTCGTCCCAGTGTCTACGGCCCTTAAAAGCCTGTTCACACCAGGACGAATTTCGTGCACGATATTCGCCCATGTTTAACCCCTTGTGTCTAAACAAAGGGCGCCAATGTGAGTGTGCACACCAACGCAAAAAATGCCACGCGTTATGCTACGTTCACACCGGACGCGAATAGGGCGTCAGGCGCGAATGATTTCAATGTTAAGTCAATGCAAAGACGCTTTACGCGCGTGAAAAATTCCTGCGGCGCGAATGAGGCGTGGAGCGCGGCGCGGAAGACGCGAATACGCCTCATTCGCGCGTCAAGTTGGCGCGAATTGAGCGTTGTGCATTCACGCGTTTGACGCGAATTCGCGTCTGCCGCCCGAGTTGAAAAATCTGAACTTTGGCGTGAATTCGCGCCGCGTTAACCAATCAGGAGCCTAGCTGCTTGCTCACGTGGGAAAGTGTCTGGATGCTTCAATAAATTATTTTGTTAATATGACTAGATGCATGGTGGGATTATGCACAACAAAGCAAATGTTTCATCACTTAAAACATTATTTCTATATACGAGACATGTTCATTTTGTATTATTTATTCCATATCTAGAAATAGTATTATGTTGTAAAGACAATCAACATATGTGCATAAATTCGTGTCTGGACGTGAGAGAGAGAAAAAAATCACAGGACAGGTTAATAACTTTTGAAGGCTGGCTCCATTTATCATCAAAACAAAAATAAATGACAGCTAGATTAGATGGATGAGGGCGAGGGTGATCCTCGCTCCGATGCGGGACAACAGGTCATCAAACTGGGCGCGGGACAGGCGGAAGTACCGCTGACAGAAGCCGTCATCCAGCGCAGCTCCTGGACCGAGCAAATGGTGAAACTCGCCAAACGGTTCGGCTCTGAGCCTCCGAAGGGTCCGGTGGACACAAATATACGGTGACGATGATCCCCACGCCGCTGTTCTGCTCTCCAGAGTAAATACAGAGCGGTAACTCTCTTGATGAATGCTCGGTCGACATAAAAACAATGGCCGCCAACGGATTTTGATTCTGACGCGCGTCATGCGCGTAAATTTCGCTTCAAACTTACGCGCGCCAGTTTCGCTCTTGACACGCGAATTAACACTAGTGGTCAAGCGTCAAACTAGACGCGTCAGGCGCGAATTTGACGCGCGATTCGCGTCCGGTGTGAACGTAGCATTAAAGCGTCATTTTTTTAAGAAACGCCTAGGGTTCGTTTTTTTTTAGTTTGACGCGCTGCGTCAAAAACTATCCGACCAATGAGATTGGTGCTTTTGCTCACGTGTCTGGAGCTTCTAAAGTTACATTAAAACACAACTTGGGGGCACTCAAACACAAAACGCTCTTGCCCTTGCATACGTAACGGCAAAGAAGATATACGCCAAGTAGCATCTTCACTGCCAGGAAGAAATGAGACGAGGAAGATGCAAGGTAAGATGACTGTAGAGCTGCTGGTCTCGTTGGTGTTGGAACATAAAGAACTATATGACAAACGCGACAGCGACTACACACATCTTGACAAAAGAGAACTGATATGGAGTGGTATTGCAGAGCAAATGGACGCCATCTAATATCAGGGATGAATTTGCATGTTCACTCGGCGAAAATCGCTTGGGTGTGAAGAAAAGCCGTTGGAAAATGCTGGTGAATAACACGTGCCGATATTCGTGCCGGTGTGTACAGCCCTTTAGGCAGTTTTTAGTAAGCAGGGCTATTTAATTGATTAACAAGGAATACAATTTAAATGGAAAGACCTAAAGATCGAAACAGTTCAAGATTAGAGGAGCAGCCTAGAGTTGGGGTAATAAAAGGAAATAAATGTAATAAATATGAACTGACAGCAGATTTATTTTTCTACAAAATGAAAAGAGAAGAGGAAAGGGGGAAAAAAGCTAATTTTACACAATGACAATGGATATGGAAACAGCACTTTTGGCGAGTGACAAGGCTCATTGACTCATTGACAGAAACACCTTCAAATGTGAAACAGAAGATTGACTCCTTGAAAACAGTACTTTAGTTGTGTTATTCTAAACGGCAGATGTTACAAAACGTTCTCAGCAGATAGCCTATACATATTCACACGAAATATTCACACCTTTGCCCTCCATAAAACTGTGAAATCACAGTCGTACAACACTCGAATGTGACATATGGCTGCACTTTGAGGTATTTGCTCTTGGAAAGTTTTACCCAGTGACCTTTCTAGAAAGATGCTTTGTAGATGTGATGTTGTTTAGTAAAGCTTGCAATAAAGTTTTGACATATTTGTCCAGAACTTGACCTACGTGTCATTTCCATTGCCTATAACTGCATTAATAAAACCTAATTGACTTTAGTCTACAAGCCCAATTAAGAGCATTTAAATAGATCCAGAGAACACAGGGTTGTTTTCTAAAATGTTTGACATTTATTTAAGCAAACGATTAATCGCGATTAATCGCATCCAAAATAAAAGTTTGTGTTTACATAATGTGGGTGCACTGTGTATAATTATATATATATATATATATATATATATATATGAAGAGTTCAGATGCAAAAGCCTCTAAATGCCATTTGAAATTTTCTTCTAAAATGACCATTTTTATCAAGCTTGTATATTTAAGTTCAGTAATTTCACTTAAATGACAATTAATAGGTAATCTTGCCATTTAAGTATGAACTTAAATATACAAGCTTGATAAATATGATCATTTTAGAAGAAAATTTCAAATGGCACTTAGAGGCTTTTGCATCTGAACTCTTCATATATACTGTACATAGATTTATATATAATTTATGTTATATATAAAAAATTTATAAATAAATAATCTTTTTTTTTTCTTAAATGTACATGCATGTGTGTATTTATATATACATACAAAATAATTATACACAGTGCACCCACATATATTATGTTGTAAACTTTATTTTGGATGTGATTAATCGCTTGACAGCCCTACAATAAATTGCGCTCTTAAGCACACATCACTTTGTCTCAAAGCTGGATGTGTTAGGCTTATCGCCTTGTGCATGCAATATAAATGAAGCTCTAGGACAGTCAAATTTAAACATTGCCACATTTCTGTTGCATGGAAATGAATGAAAACTGGATGGGTCATATTTTTCCCTCTGACTAGACTTGTTGAAACTCAACAGAGCCACTTTGTATTCCTGTGTAACTAAAAAGTGCACAGGCAACTGTGCACAACACAGATACGTTTTAATTATTTATACACGTTTTTATGCTGTAAATGTTTTACTATTGCAGACAAATTACTGCACAACCTAATGGAATCCAGAAAGTAATTAAACAACTTGTTTGCGCTTGAAAGTAATGCTTGACTCATTATTGTGTGCATTAACTGTGTGCTTTGCAATTTTATAACAGTGTAGTTATTGCACTAGATAACTACGCTCTCAGGCTTGTAGTTTGAACAGCCTAGTGTTACATCTCACACACACACACATTTCCTCACAACACGAATGTGTGAAAAAAAGGTCTACCTGACATCCCTCACGTCCCACCAAGAAGCAAGGTGTTCTGTAGTGGAGACTGAGGCTAGTCTTAGACTTTTCTCCAGTGAATATTTCTCATGGTGGGTTATGTTTGAAAATCATTTTCTGTACAAACATTCAAATCTTGGCTACAAGAAATTCCATCCTTACCGGAATAATATTGTCAAATATTTTTTGGCTATGAGGACGTCATGTTTTCCTGTGTTATGGGGACATTCCATTTAGATAATGTTTTTTTAATACTAAACAAAAAAAACTTAGTTTGATTTATAAGCTGTTTTTGCTCATGGGGACAAAAAAAGGTCCCACAACGACAAGGATTAGGGACCATTTTGTCCCAATAACGTAGGATTTACCAGGACCACACACACACACACACATTTGGGTGACTTAAAATGTTCCCTTGTGACAACTTCACCATGTGACTGTCTTTAAAGGGACATAGTCAGATTATAATAATTTAAGGTTGTCATTGATAATTTGAGTTACCATCACATGAGTTTATTGTTCAGAATCATCGTTAAAGACGTTTAGAGGACGCTTAATTCTTAGTTGCGTCGCATGCAGGGTCACAGCAGAGCGCGCTCCCAATATTATAACGGGCTCGCTTACCTGTTGGAATATCCTTATTCCTCTCCATGCTCAGGGAATCATGAACACAGGACATCAGCACCAAAAGGACCGCGCAAAAGAAATGGTCCATCGTCGCCCCGGTGAAGTCCTCAGAGACAGCGTGCACGCGCAAGTTTGCGAAGTTTTGTTTAGCTCTGCTGCTGGTCAGTCCGAGAAGTCCTGGGGTCAGTAGCTAATAAAACATTTCTCAAACATGTAAATTCATTTCAAATGGAAAGCAGTAGCGATACACGTGATGATTAGTCCCTCAAGAACGAGCTGAGTGTGGTGGTGCCCTCGATGTTCCCCGGACAGGGTGACAGGAGCGTGTGTGATTGAACAAGTCCAGCTGTGTTTGAGCACCCCTCCTCCTAGTCCTACCCTCTCCTGCAGTCCTCAAACACGAGCTCAAATAATAATGCCCCCCTGCACCGCCCTGATTCACACCCGGAGTCACGCTGCTTTCCATACTTCCACTGTAAAATAATAAAATAATTAAAAAATACAGCACACTAAAAGTGAAAACTTGCTTTTATTTATGAGCTAAGTGTTAGAGAGGTATGAAGAGCATTTTTTGACCACTTTGAAATTAGTAGATGAATAAAATGAAGTTAAAACTTTAAAAATGTATAGAAATGGCTAAATAGAAAACATTGTGAAGTTATATGGATGCAACAAATTATGTAGAATAAAAGTCCATTTGGGTGATTCTATAATTGCAGGTGTGCCTACATGTTGCGTCCAAAGTCTTTTTTTCTGCTTTTTTCAAATGGTTAGCCTATATTTTTAATTATTTTATTAATTCTTTGTCATGGATCACGATATATGACAATATAATATTTTCTGTAAAAAGGGTCTTATACATCTGAAAATCGTGATTTCTTGTTGTCTGAATTTCCTGTAGTCCGTATCTTGTATCATTATAATCAAAATATTTTACTTTACTTTTCATTTGATATTTCATTTATAAGTTATATTGTGAAACATCAAAATTGTTACCACCATCAAAAGAATTACAGTGTGTTTTTTAAAAGTCTCTTAATCATGATGTCACTAGTGCCATGTGTTCTTAGCATTTGTGCTAGCAAGTGGAATCTTTGGATAAAAAGTTAAAAATGGTCAATTCTGTTACCATCAAACTCTGTTATCAAGATAGAGTTGACATGTAACAGAATTGACAGTTTACTATAGGGAAAACTGTGTTTTTGTTGTTGTTGTTGTTTTTTAATGTAAAGATTATTAAGATTGAAAAAATTCTGTTGAACAGTTTAACTTTTTGAAATGTAAAATACCTCAAATTATAGAATCACTCATTTGAGAAATAAACTGAATTGATAATGTCCCAATGCCCGTTTGTTTCTAAAATCAAAATAAGTTCAACAAAGCAAAATACAGTAGGGTAACACTTTATTTTACAGTGTCATTGTTACATATGTTACATGTAGTTACTATAGTAATAAATTATGCATAATTACATGCAACTAAGCCTAAACCAAATCCTAACCCTTTAGTAAGTACATGTAGTTACTTAATATTACTCAGTAATTACAGTGTAACAACGGCACCTTAAATTAAAGTGTAACCCAAAATAGTAAGTAAAATTTAAATTCTTGTGGAACAGCTTTAAGGAACTAAATAGCGTCCCATTTCAAATGCCTAAAGTTTGGGTTACTGTGGAATTTGCAGTTAGCTTTATCTAAAGGGAGGTCCTCATCATCATATAAAAGCAAGGCTTTACATTGTGAGCACCAAATGACCCCCAAATAACCATAAAACCAGGAATCACCTTCATTGTGGGGAGTGACCACAACCCTCATGAGGACAATGGCTTATAAACATACTAAATGATGCTTTAATTGAAATATAAAAGTTTGGGTGTTAAATGTATAGTGGATAGAAAATATCAGTGGTTCAACTATGACATAATTTAAGTACCCTATAAATATTATAGTCCTTGAATGCAGTAGTACTTTACTCATTTACAGTAGATCCATGCACATTTCTTTATTGGAACTGATGGTTTCGTAAAGAACCCTTTACAACCATGTAAACGGTCCAAGGAGGTTCTTTATAGATGAAAAAAGTTTGGTTACACATTTTTTTTAAGGTGTCCGTGTTACAGTGTAATTAAGTACTGATTAATAATGTACTTACAATTTGAATTAGGGTGAGTTGCATGTACTGTATACATGATTTAAAGTTATTACTACAGTAACTACAGGACACTGTAAAAAAACTAAAATCTCCTTTAAAAAATGGCTATTTTAAGACCTGTTCACTGAAAGGTTCTTTGAGAGACCCAAAATGGTTCTTCAATGGATTTCCAGCAAAACCCCCCTTTTGTAAGTTTTATGTTTAAGAGTGTGGTATTATAATCTGAATTCCATCACATGATACCACTACTGTACATTTTTGTGACGATAGCTATACTTTGTGGATAAAATTGCTGATACTGCCTGCAGAACATTCTTTTGGGGATGTCAGCCGAAAGAAAATGGTTCAAAAAGACAACAAATATTCTTATTTTACTTATAAAGTGTATTTTAGGGTTAAAGTTGTTATTGTTAGCCATGTTTAAGAACAATATACGTCAATGGGAGTTCCGCACTGATATTACAAACATGTGTGTGTTACAATGTAATACAAAAGTACGGTAACACTTTACAATAAGGTTACATTTTTTAATAACTGCATTAGTGAACATGAACTAACAATGGAAAATATGTTAGTTAATATTAATTGCAACATTTACTTATCCATTATTTTAAATAAAAATTGTATCTGTTATCAATGTGCAGCTATAATGCTAAATACTTAACAAAATGTCAGTTAATGCATTAAATAATGTCAACTAATGGGAACTTATTAGTAAAGTGTTACTAAAAGTATAAATATCAATAAAAAATCGCCTGCATTGTGAGAACCAGGCATCAGCCCCCATTCGTAAATAGCATAAAAAGCTTAATAAACATTCTAAATAATGTTGAA